CCACTGCACTCCAGTCTGGACGACAGAGTGAGACTCCAACTAAAAAAAAAACAAAAAAAACAAAAAAAAAAGAACTATGATAAATATATTCAAGAAAATATGGAAAGACAGAGACTGCTAGAAGATACCAAAAGCTATTTTTTAATGACCACATGGAAATTCTATAACTGATAATGAAAATTATGAATTTAATAGAATGGCTTAATAGCAGATTAAAACTGAGGATTACTGAGCCAGAATACATATCACTATTCAGACTGAAGCAATAAAAGAGAAAAGAATGGAAAACAATATACATTATTTGTTAGAAATGTCCATTATGTCAACTTCATTAATCGAGTTGTTCAAATACTCTAAATCTTTACTGAATTTGTCTACTTGTACCGTCAGTTGTTGAGACAATTATATTAATATTTCCCAGTATGAGTAGAGATTTACTTATTTTCCCTTCAGTGTTGTTAATTTTTGCTTAATATGTTTTGAAATCATGTTAGGTACATATAAATTTAGAATTACCATATATTTCTATTGAACTGACTCTTTACAAATTATTTCTGTTGAACTGACATTTTTAGTTGACATTTCTGTTGAATTGACATCAAGGAACATCTTCCTTTAAGATATTTCTGGCCTATTTTTAAAACATTGTTCATATCATCTCTTCCCCCATCTCTTTTACCTTAAGTTTAATTTTTAAATCTTTTTATACCATTTTAGCTGGGTTTGGAGAAGTGCAAATTAAATGTATGTGATCATTCTATCATCTTAAAAAATTTTTATTTTTTATTTTTTTGGGTTGGAGTCTCAATGTCACCCAGACTGGAGTGTAGTAACATGCTCACGGCCACACCGGCATTGACCTACTGGGTTCCAGTGAACTTTCGCTGCCTTCCAAGTAGCCAGAACTACAGGTGTGCACTACCACACCTGGCTGATTTTTTTTAACTTTATTGTAGACATGAGGTCTCACCAAGTTGCCCAGGCTGGTTTCTAACCCTTGGGCTCAGGCAATCCACCTCGCCTCAGTCTCACAGAGTACTGGGATTACAGACTGAGCCACCGAGCCTGGCCATAAGAATTATTTTTACAGCATATGATTACAAACTTTGACACTATAGCTACTGTTATTATATATTACTTGAAGTATTTGCCTGCGACATTGTGAAATATATATTTGGGCTTCATCACAGCCTCCTGGTTATACATTCCTAAAACCCTTGGAATAAAGCGGTGTCTTTTTGTATGCTAATAAGCTGACTAGTGCCTAGCAGCACCCAGGCAACTTCAGAATGGGGGCTAGTCACTGGAATGACCAAAAGGGGCTAAAAGTTAAGTTGACTGCCAATCATTTAATCAATCATTCCTAAGTAATGAAGTTTTGATGAAAATCTAAAATTTAAAAAAAAAAAAAAAAACAGTGTTCAAGGAGCTTTCAGATAGCTGAACACCAGAAGGCTCCTGAAGGTGGTGTGCTTGGAGAGGTTAGAAAGTTCCTTACCCCTTCCCATATACCTCACCCTATGCAACTTTTCATCTATATCCTTTGTAATATCATTTATAATAAACCATAAATGTGTTTCCCTCAGTTCTGTGAGCCACTCTAGCAAATCAAGTCAAAGGAAGTGGTGGGAACTCAGACTTACAGCTGGATGGTCAGAGCACAACACAGGTAAAACAACCTGGAGCTTGCTATTAGCATCAGAAGTGGGAGGCAGTCTTGCAGGACTGCTCAACCTATGGTATTTGATGCCTTCTCCAGGATGATAGTGCTAGAACAGAATTGAATTAGGTGACAACAAACTGATGTCTGCTGCAGAATTGATTGGCTGTTGGCAGGGAGAAATCGTCACATACTTCTTGGTGACCAGAGATCACAGAAGTCTTCTGTGCTGATTGTTGTGGTGTGAGAGCAGAGGAAAAACATATTTCTTTTTCCACAGAATGCCATTAACTCACTCTGCACAACAGCGCACTGAAACTCCAAAACTGAAGACTAGGTAATCCAAAACAAAACTTCCCAGTATATTAATAATGGTTTCCTTAAGCAGAGATATAATCAAGATCTATTATTTCATTCTCAACGAAAAGGGTTACTCATGAATAATCTGAGAGTACCACTTTAAACAAAACTATGATATGTGCTAACACCATGATTTCTTTGTTTGCAATTTTGATTTTACAACACATTTCTCCCAGATCCTTTCAAGATACAGAAACTAAGCTTTATAATTCATATTTTTCTACCTTTTTCCTAAGAGAAAGAACTCTGGCCTATTGTCAGTTATCTACTACTCAACTTGTATGAAGAAAATAGGAACAATATATTAGGGGAAAAGTAAGAAATATTATTTGAAGTAACCCAACACAACTTACCAAGACCAAAATGGAAAAAACAAACAAAACACATCCATGATGCAAAGACAGCAATGATTTTGTTATGTGCAATAAAACACTTCATTCTGAACTGAAAAGCTCCAATGGGATCTTCCAGTGAAGAAAACAGAAAGCAGTTTCTGAAGTTCTCCTAAACTCATAACACAAACTCATTATTATTTACCATCATTCTAAAATACCAGCCTCTATGAATATGTTAAAAATCTACTCTCAAATTTTATTATAAAAGATTTTATAAAGAAAATTCTTTTTTTTTGAGTTAAAGTTTTACTCTGTCGCTCAGGTTGGAGTACAGTGGTACAATCACGGTCACTGGAGCCTCAACCCGCTGGGCTCAGGTAATCTTCCCACCTCAGCCTCCTTAGTAGCTGGACTACAGTCACATGCCACCATTCCTGGCTATTTTTTTTTAATTGTAGAGACGTGGTCTTGGCCATGTTGCCCAGGCTGGTCTCTAACCCCTGGGCTCAAGCAATCCTCTTGCCTCAGTCTCCCAAAGTGCTGGGATTATAGATGTGAGCCACTCACCTAGCCTGGAAATTCTTATAAGAAATAAATTTAGGCCCTCATAATAATACCCCTTCTAATTATTTGTGTTCCTTAATCATTCTGATGGCACAGAAAATTGATCTGAAAAAATATAAACAATATTATTTTGAAGTACCAAAAAACAATCAAATATTAAACAGCTGAAATAATAACATGCCACTTAAAAGTGTATTTTGTCTAGAGATGAACTAGTCTGTTTTTGTTCTACTATAAGTTTAAACTATTTTCCAGGATCTTATAAATGAATTGGCAAAACACACCATTCTCCTTAAAGTTTACACAGGGCAGATGTGAATCTAGAAAGATCTCCATAAGCTATCAAAAAGTGCTAAAAAGTAGTTATGCATAAGTTTTTAAGATAATGTTATGGTTTTAACTACAAAAAAGATAAATGTATAACTCTATTATGACCAATTGTAAACAAAATAAATAAATATCTCTATACATCCACCTATTTATTGCACAAAATGGCTATTTAAAAGTCACTTGCCATTTTTACGGGAAGGCTTCTGCACTGTCATCGGTGGGCAAAACTGGGCAGGTGCCACATCTGAAGAAGCAGTAGAGCCTGTATGATGAGCTTTTACCTTGTCAGCCCAACTGACACCTGTGGGAGCCTGTCGGGGAGCAGCCACTGTGCCAGGTGAACCTCTATAGAGAAAAATAAATGCAATTAATAAATTAAATGTAAAAGATAAAATGTTTTAATATATGCTCACTATATCTAAATTTTAAAATAATTGGGTGTGTATCTACATATATAGACTAACACACTATCATGGTGATCTAAGACAGCCTATATAAATTTATCTTCATCTAATACCTCATTAATTTTTATAGTGTAACACATTATAACATATGGGAGTAAAGAGAGGGGAATAAGGATAATAGAGAAGCCCTCATTAGTTATTTAAAAGAAAAACTGATTTAAATAGGGAATCTTGAAAAAATTATGCATTGGAACATTAAAGTTTTTGTTTTTTCATACATGTGTTTTAATGATATAAATGTGCATTGTTAATTTTTATATAGGCACTATTAAAACAGGCGTTTTCTTTGTTCATATTTCTTACATGTATCACAAGCATGATGCCTCACTGACAATATACAAAAAGTGGAGTGAAAATTCAGTGACATTTGTTAATTAATTTAATGTACAATTCTCCTCAACTGTAATAATATTTTCCCCAAACTTTCATGGCTGTCCTACCCACTCTTCATTTGACAGTAGCCTTATTTATATGTTTGTTTGCACATTTATTCATTTAATTATTTAAAGACAGGGTCTTGCTCTGTTGCCCAGGCTGGAGTACAGTGATGGAATCATAGTTCACTGCAACCTCAAACTCGTAGGCTCAAGGGATGCTTCTGCCTCAGTCTCCTGAGTAGCTAGGACTATAGGCATATGCAACCACAATCAGCTTTTTAAATTTTGTATAGAGACAAGGTTTCACTATGTTGCCTAGGATGGTCTCAAACTCCTGTCCTCAGCAATCCATCTACTTCAGTCTCCCAAAGTGTTGGGCTAACAGTCATGAGCCACTGAGCCTGGCCTTTATCAAAGTTTCCCAAAAACTTATCTTAGTTTTCACAGAAATGGTAATTCTTTTTTCACTCATATTTCACTGGCTTGCTTATTTAAATTATGAGTCGGCCAGGTATGGTGGCTCATGCCTGTAATGCCAACACTTTGGGAGGTCAAGGTGAGAGGATTGCTTGGCCTCAGAAATTGAGGACCAGCCTAAGAACATAGCAAGAGCTTGTCTCTACAAAAATCAAAAAATTAGCTGGGCTTGCCGGTGTGTCCCTGTAATTTCAGCTACTTAGGAGGCTGAGGCAAAGGATCATCTGAGCCCAGAAGGTCTAGACTGCAGTGAGCCATGATCATGCCCTGTCCTCCAGCCTGGGCAACAAAGTGAGACTCCAACTCAAAACATAAATAAATAGAGAGTTAAAATAAAGAAAAAAACTTGCATAAGCCAAGTTTGGTAAATAATAACTTATGTGCAATTAACATATAACTCAACCAGCAGAAACACAAGTAAGTAGATATACTATAGGTAACCGATGAGCCACAATTGTCCAGCAAGCACAAACAATATGTTTTATAATGATAATGAAGACTGTCAATTAACCCAACAATACGGTTATGTGGAGATCAGTCTGGGAACTTTTACCACACATGCATTAATGGTTTTTAGTGTTAAACCATGCAATATACAATACTCTGAACCAAAGACCAATAGAATGCATTACAGAGTAAGTTTGCATGTTTATCTTTTCCCTACTCCATTATGGTCCAATTATTATATGGTTCCAAAGCCCATCAACCTTCACTAAAGGTAACACTACCTAATAACTTCATAAAGAAACTTGAAAACAAAAGTTTGATTCTATTGACTAAACAATCAGCTTTTCCTAAGTGCCAGGTACAGGGCTAGGCACTTAGAATACAGAGATAAGGCAAAGATCTTGCCTCAAAGAAGGTCAAAATATAAGTGCAAAAAAAGACATTAAAAATTTCTGATTCAATGCAAATGTAATAATAAAACTACATCTGAGGTCTAGCATTAACAAAAAGGAAAAGCTGTTAACTATGATATGAAGGTAGGGTGATGACAAACAGTCAAGAAAGGTCAGGTTTTAACAGAGAAAAGAAAACTGGCCAAGTAAACGATTTATCAATCCTCTCATTATGTATCAAATGTTCAGATTCACTCTAAAGAATACAGTCCATGGAACCAAAACGTGCTGCCCATCGAAAGTGGACTGGATTTTTTTAAATGTGGTATATATACATGATGGAATATTATACACCCATAAAGAAGAACAAAACTATGGACTTTGCAGCAACATGAATGGATTTAGAGCCTATCATACTCAGTGATCTATCACAGAAACAAATAACTGAGTACCATATGTGCTCACTCACAAGTGGACCCTGAACACCTATCATTAATACTACAAGAAAGGGATTGGCAGTAGCCAGACACTGCCAGAAAGGGGTGGGGACACAATATCAGTAAGGGTGCCTGATCCCAATCCAGGAGAACTGAGGTCCAGTGGGAGCCCCAAACTTCATCTGCACGTAGATCACTTATGTACCCAATCCTGACTTGTACCCCACATCTTTAAAATAAATATAAATTTTTTTAAATCTATGAAAATAATAAAGGATATAGATGGGGAATCTAACTTTTTTTACCCCAAAATAATAATTTAATAAAAGTTAGTATTTTCTAAGTAAAAAAATAATAATAATTAGAGTCCAAAATCAATTAAAGTCTTAAAAACAAACTTTCCCATTATCACAACTACCAGATGGGACAATAACATTTAAGAAGAACAGGGCTGACGAAAAAACTTAAAAGGAGAAGCTGGAAAATGAGATGTCCACAGAGGGCTTTGAAAAGCTCCAACATATTCCTGGAAATCAAGAAGGTCACACATGTATTCCAGTTATAAGCATACCTAGGAAAGATTTGAGAGGACCCTAATCTCTCACCTCAGACTGGCCTTGAGGTTTTGAGAAAACAGAAACTGAAAGAAAGGTAGAGTTATAAACTGCCAGAGCACTAAGAGCAAGTTCCAACAGATACAAGGGACTAGAAAAAACTAAGATTCTTGAACAAGGCATTTAAGAAAACTTCAGTCACATCATTAGTAGATGTCTAAGCAGAGACTTTAGTGGCTGCATACAACAAAGAATACAGACTTTGTATTATGTCTGGGTTTGCTGGTCCCAAGAAGTCACCAAACTAACAGTAACAACAACAACAAACAGTCACAACAGCTATCCTGGAGAGGGTTACAATCTGATCTTCAAAGTTATCATATTTTATTAATTAAAACATCTACATTTCAACAAAAAAAAATACAAACAGGGAAGGTATGGCCCATGCACAAGATTAGTAATAGGAAGCCCAGACACTGGACTTACTAGACAAAGACTTTAAATCAGCTATTATAATTACATTTAAAGAACATCAAAGAACAAAAGTAAGTCTTGTCTAAAGAACCAAAAGAGAGCATAAGAATAAAGTTTCACCAAATACAGAATATCAATAAAGAGAAAATAAATATAAAAAGAACCACACAAATGTTCTGTGAAGTTGAATAGTAAAATAACTGAAATCAAAAATTCACCAGAGGAGTCCAACAACAGATTTATGACAGAATAAAGTATCTGCAAACTTGAAGAAAGGTCTATTAAGAGTATCTAATCTGTGAAACAGAAAGAAAAAAGAATAAAGAAAAATGAACAGAACCTCAAAGACCTGTGGGAAAGAAACCATCAAGAGTGTCAACATAAGTATAGTGGAAGTCTCAGAGGACAGAAGAGAGAAAAAGGGGCAGAAATAATATCTAAAGAAACAATAAGCAAAAACTTCCCAAATTTGATGGAAAAGACTAAGCTACATATCCAAGAAATTCAATGAACTCCAACTAAGGTAAATTCAGAGTCTCACCTAGACACATCATAGCCAATAGATCAAAAGCCAAAGGCACCAAAAAGTAAGTAATACATCACATTCAAGAATTCTCAAGACAGCTGATTTATTTCTCATCAGAAACCACTGAAACCAGAAGGCAGGAGGTAATATATTCAAAAAGCTGAAACAAAAGGAATGCCAGGCCAAGTAATCCTAGCACACTGGGAAGCTGAAGCGGAGGATCACTTGAGCCCAGGATTTTGAGACCAGCCTGGGTGACATAACAAGACTCCGTCTCCATTTTAATATTTAAAAAAAGAAAAGGATTGTCAAACAAGAATTCTATATACTATAAAACTATCCTTCAAGAACTAAAGGGTAAATTAAGACAAAAACTGAGAAAATCTGTCACTAGCAGACCTACCCAAGAAGAAATATTAAAGGGAGTACTTCAGGCTGAAATGAGTCAATAGACAGTAACTTGAATTTGCATGAGGAAATAAGGAGCAATAGTAAAGGACTACAAAAGATAACTACACGGGTAAATATAAAAGACAATATAAATATAACACTTCTATCTAATTAAAAAGATAACTGCATAAAACGATTTTAAAACTGTGTTGATGAGCTTGTAGTGTATAAAACATGTGATCTATACAACAATAACACAATGTATGATATATATTTAGATCTTTTGTTGCTAAAGAAATTGCTAGTTCATGTCATAAAATATTTAGCATGAACTATATTAATGAGCTAATGATCTCCGAATCATTAATTATACTTGAATATATTACATTTCCTTAAAGCTAAACTTTAATCTCCTGAATTTTTTTAATTTTTTATTCAGATAATTTCAAACATACACAAAGCAGGAAGACAGGTCCCTTGGTCAACCCAGCTCTTCCCCTCTGGCTTGCAACTGTCAGGCAGAATATACCAAGAACATGACATCTTGAGATAAGGTGGAACTGTCCAGAACAACCCAGATTTTGTCCTCATCCCTCTAGAATGGGATGTCCTGTAATGCTTGAGGTCAGTAATCTAAATCAGGGGTCCCCAACTCCTGGGCTGCGGACTGGTAGATCTGTGGCCTGTTAGGAACCAGGAGACACAGCAGGAGGTGAGCAGGGGGTGAGCAGAACTCTGCCTCCTGTCAGATCAGCGGGGCGTTTGATTTTCACAGGAGTGCGAACTCTATTGTGAATTGCACATCCAAGGGACCTAGATTGCCACACTCCTTACGAGAATCTAATACTTGATGTCGTTCCCCCACCCTCCATCGTCCAGGGAAAAATTGTCTTCCATGAAACCAAAAAGATTGGGGGCTGCTGATCTAAATGACATTCAGTATATAAAATCCAGAACAGAGTGCTTTTGGAGTCTTTTATTGTGGTGAGAAGTGGGCACATACAAATAGATCTCATCTCCCTGGTTACCTCTCCTAAGGCTTAGTGGACCATGTCACCATGGATCCTAAGCTTCTGTTGATTCTTACTGCCTATCTGTAATAATGCTGCTTTACCTGACTTGTGCAAGTCAGAATATGTCTCCTCAGACTTATATTCTGGCAACTGGGTTTATGCAAAACCTCCTATCAGATCGAAGAATCTTAGCAGAAATTGGGGAGGCGTTTAAAGTCCTCCCCTGGAATTGCTAGTCAATGCACAGTGTTCTCCTCCTAGGTGTTATTGATACATGTACACAGCATTCTGCTTAACACACAAACATATACATGGATAATTTTATGGTGGAATATACTTTTATAATAATATATTATCTACAGAAAATTTACTGCAATGCAAGTCTTTTTTAAATTTCATCTCACCCAAAATTTAAGCTTCGGCGAGCATTTGATGTTACACTTATTCTATCTGTTGATGGGCTTGGAATCACATGACGTCCTGGAGACATCTTCTTTACTTCCCATGCCAATGATGTTGGCCTGCCAATTCAATACATATGCCATATTAAATTAACAGAGAAAGGGGGGTAAAAAACTAATTTTCTCTCTTGGTTGTTAGTGGGTGATAAAATAATCATAATTTTTTCCTAGAGCATTGCTTACCAGAAAGTTACCATACTACCAGTGAGATATCACAGACAATGTATGGCCCAGAACTTTCCACCCAATATAGCACAGCAACAGAATTTTACTTATCTCAAAAAGGTCACGGAGTTAAGGAGACACATGATACACTACTTATGATTTACAAGCTTCCACATGCCCAGCTAAAATACATTTAAGAGGCAATGATAATAATTTAGTCTACTTGTGTCTGACGTCCTGGAAAAGTAAGTTTGTAGAAAAGGGATCAAAACAGAAAGAAAATGGTAAAGGTTAAATGAAGACTCCAAAGGAATATATAAAGTCTCTTTCCTCTAGCTTTTAACCACTCAGGAGAGTAGGAGCAAAAAGATTTCATTGCTCTTTGCTGGGAAAGTTAAGCAATCTAACAACTTCTACGCCTCCCTCTTCACTGGCCCCCACAACCAATCAGTTGACAGGATGCACAATATGCTCTCAAATCAGATTCCCATCACTCCCCTGGATATCCCTGTCTTACTCTCCATTTCCCTTCAACCATGCCAACAGTATCTTCTTTTACAATTTCACTGGTAAATAATATTTCATAGACTTTGTCTTTTTAATTACATATTTATTGCCATTACCAGTGAAACTGAACTTTTTTACCTACCTGTCTAGGCTCTCAGCTCATGCTACTCTTTCCCTTGTTCTTTTTACTTCTGCCCTGCTAAACTCTAAATTCCTTGACTACACTGTGCTCACGTCCACCTCAAGGACCTCATACGTAACTGCTATTGCTATCTGGAATTACTCTTTTCTCTTTGTCTAGCTCACTGGTGCTTAACAATTCTGTTTCAACTTAAATGTCACCTCCTCAAGAAAGCCTTTCTAGACTTAGCAAACTGATTGAGATTACTTTTTCATACACTCCCAGAGTGAACTGTATTTCTTCTTGGTGACACTTTGCACACTTACATTTATTTAACACCAGTTTTTCCTGTTAGAAATTCAGTTAGTCCTTCAGGCTGCTATAATAAAATATCTTAGACTGGGTAATTTATAAACAACAAAATTTATTTCTCAAGCTGGAAAGTCCAAGATCAAGGTGCCAGTTGATTTGATTCCTGGTGAGGGCCCTGTTCCCCATAGATAGCACCTTCCATCTGTGACCTCACATGGTGGGAGAACTGCTCCCACTTTTCTTATAAGGTTACTACTCCCATTCATGAGGGCTACACCCTCCCAACTTAATGGCCTCCTAAAGGCCCCACCTCTTAGTACTATGACATTGGTGTTCAGTTTCAACATATGAATTTTGGGGAGACACATTCAAACCACAGCATGCACTATACACTTCATGAGGGCAGGGACTGTGTCTTTCCTCATACCCACAAGTCCCAGGACCTGGCACACAGCATTCAGATATTGTGTGCTGATTTCAAAGGAATCTTTCTAAAGGAGCTTTGATCTATTATTACTCCACTAATCAAAAATCATCAACTTTCCTCACTGCCTACTACATTAAAAAGAAATAGCTTTCCCTACATTTTTTCCATTTCACATGTGCCCTACACTTACATATCTGTTTTAACTATTAGTCCCTTCATCCAAAAGGCCAACCACATGGTAAAATTCATCCCACCCTTGAAACATGTTTTCTGCATGCTCCATGAAATGTTCCCTGATCTGTTGTCCAAAAAAGATATGTCCTTCTCTAAACAACCATAGAATTTTTTGTACTAATAAATTCTATTTTATCATAGATGATAAATACCATGAGAGTAGTAAATATTTCATATTCGGCAATTAAATTTCTATCCTGAATAAAGTGATAATATCCAATAACATCCACTGGTAAATACCCAGTAACTATGTTATTGAACTAAATGAGAAATGCAGTACCTACACCTTTTAAATTTTTGTAAGTTTCAAGTCAATTTGAGGTTAAATCCATTGTCAATTCTAATGACTGTTATTGAAACTGCTGGCTAATATACATATATAGATCAGAGATTTCATTACCTGCTTTGAGCATCTGTCTTCTCTAGCTTTTCCTGAAGTTGAATCCAGTCAATCAATGCTTTGAAATCTCTCACATAGTTATCCAACATCATTAGCACCTCCTAATTTAAAACAAACAAACAAAAAATAAAGTCTCATTCTTAGACTAAAAACTTCCAAGAAAAACTTAGAAAGAAAAACTTAGGAATTAATAATTCTTATATTATACTCCTCAATGAAGAAGCTGCATAGCCTACTGATCTAGCTTTTGTTATCTGGGTTTTTTTTTTTTTTTTCACTATCTCTCTTTGATAAGATATTAAGAAACATGTGAAGTTGAGGGCCTAAAACCAAGAAATGATATTGATATTCCTTCTGAAGACCTCCTCAAATAGGCATCCTTTCAACCATTTTTACTGTGAAGTTTAATATATAGAAAAGTGCACAAAACATAAATGTACAAATGAATTATCACAAAAATTCATGTAACCAACACAACGTGCACAAAACATAAGTCTATAAACTACTGCAAAAAACCACTATCTATGACAAAAAAATAGAACTATGCCAGTTCCCCAGCATCCATTCCCAATTACTATTCCATCCCTCCACAAAAGTAACCCTGCCTTGACTTCTAATAGTGTGATTTTGCCTGTTTTTGAAATGTGTATAAATGAATTCATATAGTATCCATTATTTTGTGGCTTCTTTGTACCTTTATTTTCCAGGTTCATCAATATTGAAAAGTATACTTGCAATTCATTTATTGTCACTGTACAAGATCACTGTACAAGGCCACTGCACATTTATTTATTCAATCTACTGTTTATCAATATTTATTGGTTGATATTTATATTTATTTATTTTAATATATGCTTATCCAATCGCTGTTGATGAACACTGGGGTAATTTCCAATTTTGGAAATTACAGATGATATGCTGTTATTCCCATATATGTCTTCTGCATACATATATGAATTTCTGGTGAGCATAAGCCCATGAGTTAAACTGCTAAGTCACAGGGTAACTGTATGTTCCACTTTAGTGCATAATGCCACAGAGTTTTCCAAAGTGGTTGCCACTTCTACCAGCAGCATATGTGAGTTCTCCTTACTCTACATCCTTGTCTACATTGGTATTATCCACTTTTGGGTTTTTGTTGTTTCTTTGAGTCAGGGTATCACTCTGCTGCCCAAGTAGGAATGCAGTAGTACAATTCCTGGACTCAAGAGTTCCTCCTACCTCAGCTTCTCAAGTAGCTGAGACAACAGACATGCCAAAGTGCTGGGATGACAGGAGCTGAGCAACCAAGCCCGGCCCATTTGTTTTTAACCTGAGCAATTCTTGTTGGTGGGTATGTAATGTTATTTCATTATGGTTTTAATATGTATGTCTGAGCCAGGTGGAATGGTACATGCCAGTAGTCCCAGCCACCCAGGATGCTGATGCAGGAGGATCACTTGAGCCCAGAAATTCAAAAACAGCCTGGGTAACACAACAAGATCCCATCTTTTAATAATAATAAGTATTCCTCTGATTACCAATGATTTTGAGGACCTTCTCGTAAGTGTATTGGTCATTGGGATATCCCTTTTTTGTGAAGTGCCTGTTCAAAACTCAGCCATTTTTCTAGAGGGTCAACTGACGTTACTGATGTATAGGACCTCTTTGTATCCACTGAATATGGATCTTTTGTGGTTGCATGTGTTACACCTATCTGCTTGCCTTTTTGCTCTCCTAATGGAATAGAATATCTTGATGAACAGAAACTCCTAATTGCAATATAGTCTAATTTACGATTCTTTTTACCTTGAGACAGATGCTATTTGTGTCATTTAAAAAACTTTCCCTATCACAGATTAGAGAGGTATTCATCAACATTGTCTTTTAGTGCTTTGTCATTATACCTTTTGAATTTAAACCTACAATCTTCATGGAACTGATTTTTTTGTGTATGACCTAAACTAGGAGTCAAGTTTTCTCCCATACAAATATCCAATTGCCCAGCACAAGTTATTGAAAAGTTAAATCTAGTCCTACTATTTCACAGTGTCATTTTTTGCCATAATCAAATATCCATAAACATGAATCTGTTTTTGGAATCTCTGTTAAATTGGTCTGTTTATCTATTCTTGTGCCAGTACCAAACTATCTTACATTGCTGTAGCTCTAAGATAAATCTTGAGGCCCATTAAATTGTCATTGTCCAGCTATATATTTGACCTCAAGGTTTTAACCCTAAGAATAAATGTTAGTTTTAGAGATTGGCAGTAATAGGAAACTGTCAGGGGAGGTGGGGTGGGATTGGCGGTTGAGGGAAACTGCTAAGGGAAGGAGGGGCATAACTCATTAACAAGGGTACATGCATAATCAATGCTTGTATAGCTAACCCTGAATTGTACCCCACATATTTATAACAAAAAATAAAAAAGAATAAATGTTAGTTTTAAATTTTTTTTAATTTTCTGTTATGTTGATTTTTGTATTTTAAATTTAGATCCAGAAACTTTAATATACTTAATACTTGTCATATTTTATCTTTAGATTCTTTTGGATTTTCTAAATGCTATCTATGAATAATGACTTTTTTTTTTAACTCTCTAGTTGCTTAACCTTTATGTCTTATTCCTGTCTTTTTGTTGAACAGGGTCTTAAATACAATGTTGATAGAAATAATGATAGCAGGCTTTCCTGTCTCTTTCAAAATTTCAGAAAGAAAGCTCTCAACATTTTACTACCAAGTATAAAGTTTACTATCACTTTTAGAAGATTCCTTATTTCACAAAGGAAACTTCATTTAATTCCCAATTTCCTAAAGTTTTATCATAAATGGGTGTTAAATTTCATCAAATATTTTTCCTAGATCTATTGAGATAATCATGATTATTAATCTTCATGCAACTAATTTGGTTAATAACACTAATCTGATATTCAAATATTAACTAAGATTGTAGTGCTAGAATAAACCTAACTTCATTGTGATATATTGCCCTTTTTTTTTCATTGCTGATTCAATACATCAATATTTGGTTTAGGATTTCTGCATCTGTTCTCCTAAGTAGTCTATATTTTCCTTCTCATAAAAGCTTTAGTTATTAAGATTATGCTGGTTAAGCCAGACTCGGTGGCTCAGCCTGTAATCCCGAGCTTTGGGAGGTTGAGGTGAGTGGATTTCCTGAACCCGCGGGTTCAAGACCCGCCTGGGCAACTTGGCGAGACCTCATCTCCACAATAAGTCAAAAACTAGCTGGGCGTGGTAGCACGCACCTGTAGTTCCAGCTACTTGGAAGGCTGAGGCGGAGGGATTGCTGGAGCCCAGCAGGTCGAGGCTGCAGTGGCCAGGAGCGTGCCACTACACTCCAGTCTGGGCAACAGAGTGAGACTTCAACTCAAAAACAAAAAAAAAGATTATGCTGATTAATAAAATGAGTTTTTAAAAACAGAGCTCTCTTTTTCTATGTTTCCAGCACTTTGGGAGGCCGAGGTGAGTGGACTGCCTGAGCCTGTGGGTTCATGACCCCCTGGGCAACTCGGCGAGACCTCATCTCTACAATAAATCAAAAAATTAGCTGGGCGTGGTAGCGCGCGTCTGTAGTTCCAGCTACTTGGAAGACTGAGGTGGAAGGTCGAGGCTGCAGTGGCCCAGAGCGGCCACTGTACTCCAGTCTGGGCGACAGAGTGAGATTTCAACTCAAAAAAAAAAAAGAATTACTTGTGTGATGCTGGCAAACTTTTTTGCTAAATTTTATTATTTTATTGAGATATAATTCACAAGCCATAAAAGTACACAATTCCGTCATTTTTAGCATATGCAGAGTTGTGTAACTGTCTAATACCAAAATATTTTCATTATCTCAAAAAGAAACCCCATACCCATTAACAGTCACTCCCCATCTCCCCTTAGCATCCATCCCTTAGCAACCACTAGTCTCTTTTTTGTCTGTATGTTTTGGTCTATTCTGGACATTTCATATAAGTAGAATCAATCATACAAGGCCTTTTGTGTCTGGCTCCTTTTACTTAACAATGTTTTTGAGGTTCATCGACCAGGTAGCATGTATCAGTACTTCATTACTTTTTATGCCTGAATAATTGCAAAATATCACATTTTGCTTATTCATTTATCACTTGAGAAATATGTGCGTTTCTTCTTTTTTGCTAATTTTGAATAATGCTTTTTACAAACATTTGTGTAAAAGTTTTTCTGTAGACACATATTTCTAATTCTCTTGGATATGTGCCTAGAAGTAGATTTGCTAAGTTATATGGTAGCTTTAGCTGTTAACTACCTAAACTTTTTCCACAGCTGCTGCACCATGTTATATTTCTAGCAGCAATTTAAGAGCTCCATATTCTTCACATCCTTGCCAACACTTGCTATTTTCTGACTTTCTCATTCTAGTCACCTTAATGAGTGTAAAGTTGTATCATTATAGTTTTTATTTGCATTTCCCTGAAGACTAATAACTTTGATCATTTTCTCATGTGCGTATTGAACATTTTGAACATTTTTTCATGAGCATATATCTTCTTAGGAGAAATGTCTATTCAAGTTACTTGCCCTTTTTAACTTTTAACTTTGTCCTTTTTATTGCTGAGCTGTAAAGTTTTGTATACATTCTGGATACTAGACTCTCATCAGTTGTATGAGAAGATATTTTCTCCCACTATGTGGATGGTGAGTCCACTCCCAACAGTGTCTTTTGACACACAGAAGTTTTTAACTTCTGAACAAGGTTCACCTTGTTCCAGCAAAAAAATTAGGTCTGCAGATTCTCCCTGGAAGGAGTTTGTGCATGCACTCAGTTCCCCAACTTTTACAGTTCACACTCCTAAATCACCTAGCTTTGGGAGTTGATGAGGTCTGCATTTGTGAACCTCCCTAGACCTTAAAGAGGTGGGCTTCCAGAAGCTACCGTCTCAAGCTCAGCAGTGATCGAACAATCAAAAACTCCTAGGTCCCAATTTCTCCCTAGAGGAAACTAACTACACAACTAATGTTGTGACTTTTCCAGTTGTTATCTGTAAGTTGGGTCATTAATTAGCCTGCATCTGGGAGCTTAAAAAGCAGGCAATCAGCAGTCCTCTAGGAGATTAAGGTGCATGTCGACACTCCTCACAA